AACGTGGTAGAACATGGGTTAACTAGGGTAGATGAGGGTGAACGTGGTAGAACATGGCTAAACAAGGGTAGATGGGGGTAAACGTGGTAGAACATGGGTTAACTAGGGTAGATGAGGGTGAACGTGGTAGAACATGGCTAAACAAGGGTAGATGGGGGTAAACGTGGTAGAACATGGGTTAACTAGGGTAGATGAGGGTGAACGTGGTAGAACATGGCTGAACAAGGGTAGATGGGGGTAAACGTGGTAGAACATGGGTTATCTAGGGTAGATGATGGTCAACGTAGTAGAACATGGCTCAACAAGGGTAGATGGGGGTTAAACGTGGTAGAACATGGGTTAACTAGGGTAGATAGGAGTGAACGTGGAAGAAAATGGCTAAACAAGGGTAGATGGGGGTAAACGTGGTAGAACATGGGTTAACTAGGGTAGATGAGGGTGAACGTGGTAGAACATGGCTAAACAAGGGTAGATGGGGGTAAACGTGGTAGAACATGGGTTAACTAGGGTAGATGAGGGTGAACGTGGTAGAACATGGCTGAACAAGGGTAGATGGGGGTAAACGTGGTAGAACATGGGTTATCTAGGGTAGATGATGGTCAACGTAGTAGAACATGGCTCAACAAGGGTAGATGGGGGTTAAACGTGGTAGAACATGGGTTAACTAGGGTAGATAGGAGTGAACGTGGAAGAAAATGGCTAAACAAGGGTAGATGGGGGAAAACGTGGTAGAACATGGGTTAACTAGGGTAGATGAGGGTGAACGTGGTAGAACATGGCTCAACAAGGGTAGATGGGGGTAAACGTGGCAGACCATGGGTTAACTAGAGCAGATGAGGGTGAACGCGGTAGAACATGGCTAAACAAGGGTAGATGAGGGTCAACGTTGTAGAACATGGCTCAACAAGGGTAGATAAGGGTAACGTGGTAGAACATAGGGTCAACGGGGAACCTCGGGAATACACGCGCAACTCTGGGAAATCACGAGCGCCGGAGTTGCATGCGTGAGAATGAACCCCACTACACATTGAGGCACTTGTGCAAACGAATGGGGGGAGGGTTGAACTCACGCATGCCACTTCTACGTAATGCATGCCAAAGCGGCCAAAACAAAATACCAGGCTCACTAGACCCAAGGGACCTCGGGAATAGACGCGCAACTCCGGGAAATCACGAGCGCTGGAGCGGCATGCGTGACAATAACCCCCACTCCTCTCTGAGGTACCTGTGGAAACGAGGGATGGAGGGTTGAGCTCACGCATGCCACTTCTACGCAACGCATGCTAAAGCGGCCAAAACGAAATCCCAGGTTCACTAGACCCAAAGACCATCGGGAATAGACGCGCAACTCCGGGAAAACACGCGCGCCGGAGTGGCATGCGTGAGAATGAACCCCACTGCTCTCAGAGGCACCTGTGCAAACGAAGGGTGGAGGGTTGAATTCATGCATGCCACTTCTACGTAACGCATGGCAAGGCGGCCCAAAAAAAATGCGAGGTTCACTAGACCCAAGGGACCTCGGGAATAGACGTGCAACAACGGGAAATCACGAGCGCCGGAGTGGCATGCGTCAGATTGAACCCCACTGCTCTCTGAGACACCTGTGGAAACGAAGGATGGAGGGTTGAACTCACGTATGCCACTTCTACGTAACGCATGCCAAAGCGGCCAAAAAGAAATCCCAGGTTGACTAGACCGAAAGAACGTCGGGAATAGACGCGCGACTTCGGGAAATGACGAGCGCCGGAGTGGCATGCGTGAGAATGAACCCCACTGCTCTTTGAGGAACCTGTGCAAACGAAGGGTGGTGGGTTGAACTCACGCATGCCACTTCTACAGAACACATGCCAAAGCGCCCAAAACGAAATCCCAGGTTCACTAGACCCAAGGGACCTCGGGAATAGACCCGAAACTCCGGGAAATCACGAGCACACGAGTGGCATGCGTGAGCATGAACCCCACTGCTCTTTAAGGCATCTGTGCAAACGAAGGGTGGAGGGTTGAACTCCTGCATGCCACTTCTACGTACTGCATGGCAAGGCGGCCAAAACGAAATCTAAGGTTCACTAGACCCAAGGTACCTCGGGAACAGACGCGCATCTCCGGGAAGTCATGGGCGCCGAAGTGGCATGCGTGACAATGAACCCCACTGCACTCTGAGGCACCTGTGCAAACAAAGGGTGGAGGGTTAAGGTCACGCATGCCACTTTTACGTACCGTATGCCAAAGCGGCCAGAACGAAATTCCAGGTTTACTAGACCGAAGGGACCTCGGCAATAGACGCGCAACTCCGGGAAATCACGAGTGCCGGAGTGGCATGCGTGAGATTGAAACCCACTTCTCTCCGAGGCACCTGTGGAAACGAACGATGGAGGGTTGAATTCACGCATGCCACTTCTACGTAACGCATGCCAAAGCGTCCAAAACTATCTCCCAGACTCACTAGACCCAAATAGTCTCGGGAATAGACGCGCAACTACGGGAACTCACGAGCACCGGAAAGGCATGCGTGAGAAGGAACCCCACCGCTTTCTGAGGCACCTGTGAAAACGAAGGGTGGAGGGTTGAGCTCATGCATGCCAATTCTAGGTAACGCATGACAAAGCGGCCAAAACGTAATCCGAGGTTCACTAGACACTATGGACCTCGGGAATAGACGCGCAACCCTGGGAAATCACGGGCGCCAAAGTGGGATGCGTAAGTATGAGCCCCACTGCACTCTAATGTGCCTTATTCCCGAGCTCCCTTGGGGCTAGTGAACCTGGGATTACGTTTGGGCCGCTTTGCCATGCGTTACCTATAAGTGGCATGCGTGAGTTAAAAGCTCCACCCTTTGTTTGTACATGTTCTTTAGAGTGCAGTGGGGCTCATACTCTCGTATGCCACTCCCGCGCTGAAGATTACCTGGAGATGCGCGTCTATGTCCGAGCTCCCTTCGGTCTATTGAACCTGAGATTACGTTTTGGCCGCTTTGGCAAGCGTTACCTAAAAGTGGCATGCGTGAATTCCACGTTCGACCCTTGGTTTGCACCAGTGCCTTAGAGTGGAGTGGGGCTCATACTCACGCATGCCACTCCGCTACCCGTAGTTTCCCGGAGTTTCGCGTCTATTCCCGAGCTCCCTTGGGTCCAGGGAACCTGTGATTAGGTTTTGGCCGCTTTGTCATGCGTTACCTAGAAGTAGCATGCGTGAGATCAACGCTCCACCCTTGGTTTACACATGTGCCTCAGAGTGCAGTGGGGCTCATACTAACGGATGCTACTCCGGCGCCCATAATATCACGGGGTTGCGCGTCTATTTCCGAGCTCCTTTTCTGTCTATTGAACCTGCCATTACGTTTTGGCCGCGTCGTCATGCGTTTCCTAGAAGTAGCATGCGTGAGTTAAAGCCTCATCCCTTTTGTTTGCACTTGTGGATGAGAGTGCGATGGCGCTCACCCTCACGCATCCCATTCCGGCGCCCCTCATTTCCCGGAGTTACGCGTCTATTTCCGAGGTCCCCTGGGTCTAGTGAACCTGGGATTCCCCTTTGGCTGCGTCGTCATTCGTTTCCTAGAAGTGGCATGCGTGAGTTCATGCTTCAACCCTTTGTTTCACTTGTGCAAAGATTGCGGAAGCGCTCACTCTCACCTATCCCACTCCGGCGCCCCTGAATTCCCGGAGTTGCGCGTCTATTCCCGAGGCCCCTTGGGTCTAGTGAACCTGGGATTCCATTTTGGCCGCGTCGTCATGCGTTTCCTAGAAGTGGCACGCGTGAGTTCAGGCCGCATCCCTCTGTTTGCACTAGTGCCTGAGAGTGCGGTGGCGCTCACTCTCACGCATGCCACTCCGGCGTCCCTGATTTCCCGGAGATGCACGTCTATTCCCGAGGTCCCTTGGGTCTAGTGAACGTGGGATTCCATTTTGGCCGCGTCGTCATGCGTTTCCTAGAAGTGGCATGCGTGAGTTCAAGCCTCACCCCTTCGTTTGCACTTGTGCCTGAGAGTGCGGTGGCGCTCACTCTCACGCATGCCACTCCGGAGCCCCTGATTTCCCGGAGTTGCGCGTCTATTACCGAGGTCCCTTGGGTCTACTGAACGTGGGATTCCATTTTGGCCGCGTTGTCATGCGTTTCCTAGAAGTGGCATGTGTGAGTTCAAGCCTCACTCCTTCGTTTGCACTTGTGCCTGAGAGTGCGGTGGCGCTCACTCTCACGCATGCCACTCCGGAGCCCCTGATTTCCCGGAGATGCACGTCTATTCCCGAGGTCCCTTGGGTCTAGTGAACGTGGGATTNTTGGTGCAACTTATCGGTACCGATTCGGTAAACGGGGTTTGGCCAACAATGCCGGTGGTAAGCTAAACACTGGTCTGCTAATGCCTGGTTCCTTTAAACTTTATAAATCAGATTTTGAGTAGATTAGACCTCGTCTTATAATTGAGTTCACTACAATTGGCAAGGCTAAAATAATTTTTATTTTATTTCTCGGCATTTGAGCTATTTTGGGAGTTACACTGTTCAGGTCCATATCTCTTACGTCGTTAAATTATTTATGTTTCAGTTTCAGCTGGGAACTACTTTCGAGGAATAAAAGATCAAGGTCAGAATATGGTATGGGAAAATATGAATGAAACCTGTATCAACTTAACTATTTGTTCGTTTTTTTTTTTAATTATTCTAAGTTTTATATCGATCTCTTATTCTGATGAATTTTCTTATATTTCAGGCCTACCTTATCTATGATATTACAAAAAATGAAGGACGTGAAGGTCGAGACAGGAATGACATGGCGAAATATCGATAAAACTTTGCTCGACTTAATTCTCCCCTGGGTCTAGGGAAGCTGGGATTGCGTTTTGGCCGCGTCCTCATGCATTTTGTGGAAGTGGCAGGCGTCAGTACAAGCCTCACCCTCTGTTTCCCACTGGTGCGTTTTAGTGCGGTGGGTCTCACTCTCACGCATGCCAGTACAGCGCCCCCGATTTCCCGCAGTTGCGCGTCTATAACCCTCACGGAACTCCCCTGGCTCTAGCGAGACTGGGATTCCGTTTTGGCCGCCTCCTCATGCGTCTCGTGAAAGTGGCATGCGTGAGTACAAGCCTCATCTCCTGATTCTCACTGGTGCGTCTCACTCTCACGCATTGCACTCCAGCGCCCCTCATTTCCCGGCGTTGGGCGTCAACTCCTCAACTCCCCTGGGTCTAGGGAAGCTGGGATTCCGTTTTGGCCGCGTTCTCATGCGATTCGTGGAAGTGGCAGGCGTCAGTACAAGCCTCACCCGATTTTTCCCACCGGTGCGTCTCACTCTCACGCATGGCACTCCAGCGGCCCTGATTTCCCGGCGTTGGGCGTCTTCTGCCCAACTGCCCTGGGTCCAGGGAAGCTGAGATTGCGTTTTGGCCGCGTCCTCATGCGTTTCCTGGAAGTGGCAGGCGTCAGTACAGGCCTCACACCCTGTTTCCCACTGGTGCGTCTTAGGGCGGTGGGTCTCACTCGAACGCATGCCACTCCGGCACCCCTAATTTCCCGCAGTTGCGCCTCTAAAACCCTCACGCAACTCCCCTGGCTCTAGCGAGACTGGGATTGCGTTTTGGCCGCGTCCTCATGCGTTTCGTTGAAGTGGCAGGCGTCACTGCAAGCTTCACCCCCTTTTTCCCACTCGTGAGTCTCACTCTGATGCATGGCACTACAGCGCCCCTGACTTCCCAGAGCTGCGTGTCTATTCCCAACTCTCCTGGGTCTAGGGAAGCTGGGATTGCGTTTTGGCCGCGTCCTCATGCGTTTCGTCTAAGTGGCAGGCGTTAGTACAAGCCTAACCCCCTCTGTCCCACTGTTGCGTCATAGTGCGGTGTGTCTCACTCTCACGCATGCCACTCCGGCGCCCCTGATTTCCCGCAGTTGCGCGTATATAACCCTCACTCAACTCCACTGGCTCTGGCGAGACTGGGATTGCGTTTTGGCCGCGTCGTCGTGCGTTCCGTCTAAGTGGCAGGCGTCAGTACAAGCCTCACCCCCTCTTTTCCACTGTTGCGTCTTAGTGCGGTGTGTCTCACTCTCACGCATGCAACTCCGGCGCCCCTGATTTCGCGCAGTTGCGCTTATATAACCCTCACTCAACTCCCCTGGCTCTAGTGAGACTAGGATTGCGTTTTGGCCGCGTCCTCATGCGTTTCGTCTAAGTGGCAGGCGTCAGTACAAGCCTCATCCCCTTTTTCCCTTTGGTGCGTCTCCCTCTCACGCATGGCACTCCAGCGCCCCTGACTTCCCAGAGCTGCGTGTCTAATCCCAACTCCGCTGGGTCTAGGGAAGCTGGGATTGCGTTTTGGCCGCGTCCTCATGCGTTTCGTGGAAGTGGCAGGCGTCAGTACAAGCCTCACACCCTGTTTCCCACTGGTGCGTCTTAGTGCGGTGGGTCTCACTCTCACGCATGCCACTCCGGCGGCCCTGATTTCCCGCAGTTGCGCGTCTATAACCCTCCCGCAACTCCCCTGGCTCTAGCGAGACTAGGATTCCATTTTGGCCGCGTCCTCATGCGTCTCGTGGAAGTGGCATGCGTGAGTACAAGCCTCATCTCCTGATTGTCACTGGTGCGTCTCACTCTCACGCATGCCACTCCAGCGCCCCTGGTTTCCCGGCGTTGGGCGTCTACTCCTCAACTCCCCTGGGTCTAGGGAAGCTGGGATTCCGTTTTGGCCGCGTTCTCATGCGTTTCGTGGAAGTGGCGGGAGTCAGTACAAGCCTCACCCCCTTTTTCCCACTGGTGCGTCTCACTCTCACGCATGGCACTCCAGCGCCCCTGACTTCCCAGAGCTGCGTGTCTATTGCCAACTCCCCTGGGTCTAGGGAAGCTGGGATTGCGTTTTGGCCGCGTCCTCATGTGTTTAGTGGAAGTGGCAGGCGTCACTAGAAGCCTCACCCCCTTTTTCCCACTGGTGCGTCTCACTCTCACGCCTGGCACTCCATGGCCCCTGATTTCCCAGAGCTGCGTCTCTATTCCCAACTCCCCCTGGTCTAGGGAAGCTGGGATTGCGTGTTGGCCGCGTCCTCATGTCTTTCGTCTAAGTTGCAGGCGTGAGTAGAAGCCTCACCCCCTGTTTCCCACGGGTGCGTCTTACTGCGGTGGGTCTCACTCTCACGGATGCCACTCTGGCGCCCCTGATTTCCCGCAGTTGCGCGTCTATAACCCTCACGCAACTCCCCTGTCTCTAGCGAGACTGGGATTCCGTTTTGGCCGCGTCCTCATGCGTCTCGTGGAAGTGGCATGCGTGAGTACAAGCCTCATATCCTTATTCTCATTGGTGCCTCTCACTCTAACGCATGCCACTACGGCGCCCCTGATATCCCGGCGTTGGGCGTCTACTTCTTTACTCCCCTGGGTCTAGGGAAGCTGGGATTGCGTTTTGGCCGCGTCCTCATTTGTTTCGTGGAAGTGGCAGCCGTCAGTACAAGCCTATCCCCCTGTTTCCCACTGGTGCGTCTTAGTGCGGTGGGTCTCACTCTCACGGCTGCCACTTCGGCGCCCCTCGTTTCCCGTAGTTGCGCGTCTATAGCCGTCACGCAACTCCCCTGGCTCTAGCGAGACTGGGATTCCGTTTTGGCCGCGTCTTCATGCGTCTCGTGGAAGTGGCATGCGTGAGTACAAGCCTCATCTCTTGATTCTCACTGGTGCCTCTCACTCTCACGCCTCACTCCAACGGCCCTGATTTCCCGGCGTTGGGTGTCTACTCCTCAACTCCCCTGGGTCTAGGGAAGCTGGGATTCCGTTTTGGCCGCGTTCTGATGCGTTTCGTGGGAGTGGCAGGTGTCAGTACAAGCTTCACCCCTTTTTTCCCACTGGTCCGTCTCATTCTAACGCATGGCACTCCATCGCCCCTGAATTCTTATAGCTGCGTGTCTATTCTCAAGTCCCCTGGGTGTAGGGAAGCTGGGATTGCGTTTTGGCCGCGTTCTCATGCGTTTCGTGGAAGTGGCAGGAGTCACTACAAGCCTCATCCCCTTTTCCCCACTGGTGCGTCTCACTCTCACGCCTGGCACTCCAGCGCCCCTGACTTCCCAGAGCTGCGTGTCTATTCCGAACTCCCCTGGGTCCAGGGAAGCTGGGATTGCGTTTTGGTCGCGTCCTCATGCGTTTCGTCTAAGCGGCAGGCGTCAGTACAAGCCTCACTCCCTGTTTCCCACGGTTGCGTCTTAGTGCGGTGGGTCTCACTCTCACGCATGCCCCTCCGGCGCCCCTGATTTCCCGCAGTTGCGCGTCTATAACCCTCACGCAACTCCCCTTGCTCTAGCGAGACTGGGATTGCGTTTTGGCCGCATTCTCATGCGTTTCGTGGAAGTGGCAGGCGTCAGTACAAGCCTCACCCCCTGTTTCCCACTGGTGCGTCTTAGTGCGGTGGGTCTCACTCTCACGCATGCCACTACGGCGCCCCTGATTTCCCGCAGTTGCGCGTCTATAACCCTCACGCAACTCCCCTGGCTCTAGTGAGACTGGGATTCCGTTTTGGCTGCGTCCTCATGCGTCTCGTGAAAGTGGCATGCGTGAGTACAAGCCTCATCTCCTGATTCTCACTGGTGCGTCTCACTCTCACGCATTGCACTCCAGCTCCTCTGATTTACCGGCGGTTGGCGTGTACTGCCCAACTCCCCTGGGTCTAGGGAAGCTGGGATTGCGTTCTGACCGCGTCCTCATGCGTTTCGTGGAAGTGGCAGGCGTCAGTACAAGCCTCACACCCTGTTTCCCACTGGTGCGTCTTAGTGCGGTGGATCTCACTCTCACGCATGCCACTCCGGCGCCCTTGATTTCCCGCAGTTGCGCGTCTATAACCCTTACGCAACTCCCCTGGCTCTAGCGAGACTGGGATTCCGTTTTGGCTGCGTCCTCATGCGTCTCGTGGAAGTGGCATGCGTGAGTACAAGCCTCATCTCTTGATTCTCACTGGTTGCTCTCACTCTCACGCATGCTCCTCCAGCGCCCCTGATTTCCCGGCGTTTGGCGTCTAGTCCTCAACTCCCGTGGGTCTAGGGAAGCTGGGATTCCGTTTTGGCCGCGTTCTCATGCGTTTCGTGGAAGTGGCGGGAGGCAGTACAAGCCTCACCCCCTTTTTTCGGCTGGTGCGTCTCATTCTCACGCATGGCACTCCAGCGCCCCTGACTTCCCAGAGCTGCGTGTCTATTCCTAACTTCCCTGGGTGTAGGGAAGCTGGGATTGCGTTTTGGCCGAGTCCTCATGCGTTTCGTGGAAGTGGCAGGCGTCACTAGAAGCCTCACCCCCTTTTTCCCACTGGTGCGTCTCACTCTCACGCCTGGTACTCCAGCGCCTCTGACTTCCCAGAGCTGGGTGTCTATCCCCAACTCCCCTGGGTCTAGGGAAGCTGGGATTGCGTTTTGGCCGCGTCCTCATGCGTTTCGTCTAAGTGGCAGGCGTCAGTACAAGCCTCACCCCCTGTTTCCCACGGGTGCGTCTTAGTGCGGTGGGTCTCACTCTCACGCATGCCACTCCGGCGCCCCTGATTTCCCGCAGTTGCGCGTCTATAACCCTCACGCATATCCCCTGCCTCTAGGGAGACTGGGATTGCGTTTTGGCCGCGTTCTCATGCGTGTCGTGGAAGTGGCAGGCGTCAGTCAAAGCCTCACCCCATGTTTCCCACTGGTGCGTCTTAGTGCGGTGGGTCTCACTCTCACGCATGCCACTCCGGCGCTCCTGATTTCCCGTAGTTGCGCTCTAGTGAGAGTGGGATTCCGTTTTGGCTGCGTCTTCGTGCGTCTCGTGGAAGTGGCATGCGTGAGTACAAACCTCATCTCCTGATTCTCACTGGTGCCTCTCACTCTTA